TTTTTTTTTTGTTAAGTTCATATCATTTTCTTTAGGAAAGAGACAGTTGCATAAACATTAACAATTTATTTCAATTTTTCATTAAAATTATTTTAAATTCAATTTATTTGGTACAAAAATCGGTACAATGTTAGGAAAATTCGGTTGCATTTTTAGAAAAAAATGATGATTTTTTATTTGGTTTAAAAAAAATATTCGGATCAATTTGTTTGATAAAAATTCGATTTATTAGTAGGAAAATCGATTTCATTTCCAGGAGTAAGTAATGATTCTTTTAAATTTTTCTTAATTGAAACTTAGAATTATATTTAAAATAAATAATGGGTGAAAATCCCTAAAAAATTCTACTTTTGTTATTACTTTAATTTTGTTTAATAAATAAGATCCTTTAATTTAAATTTATTAACTAATAACTAATAATATGCAATTTTAGATAAATTCGAACACCTATGTAGTACTTTACGTGCCAAATAATCAAATCAATAACGTTGTACATAAGGAAGTGTGTAATAACATATAAATTTTATTTCTATGAAATTTTTAATGGCATGCGATAATTTAAATACAAAAATACCTTTCAAAAAATAAATAGGTAATAAATACTCGTGTATCGCACTGTACTAGTTTGTATAAACAAACATCGAGGTTTTAATCCCACGAGAGTATTATCCACCATTTGGAAAATCCATCAGGTGCATTCCACCCTACTAAAAAAAATTCAAGGTCTGAATACTTGTCATAACAATTAAATTGATCGCACGAAAATCTCATGATACCATCATATATAGATTAAAATTAATTCATATGATCAATATAGAAGCAAGCTCTAACCTAGTGTCCCCATGAAATAGGATCTCGTTTCTCTTCTTGCACATTGAAAGTGAATCTCTAAGCTAGTAGAACATTGAAGGTGAATCTCTCCCTAACCTAGTCAACAATTTTCTTAAAATGTGCTGAAAATTTCTAATGATGATCATGCAAATGAACAATCACGAAGGAGTACATAAAGATGGGCAATGGGAACAAGCATACACGTACTTCCCATACTTGACATTTCATAACAAAAGGAGGTCTTCTACATTCAAAATTTTATACATTCTCGACCTCTTGAATGTGTTGAGAATGGCTTTTACCGGGTGGAACAAAAATCAAGTCTTCCCAGCCCGAGTTCTTTTCACTTATCTGTCACATGATGGAAAAGGTGGAAAATATTGTCTGGATTTCAGCTGAACCAATTTTGTACTAAGAAAAAACAAATGCAATAAAGAAAGAGCTATCTAAAAAGACAATTGTTTCTGCATAAAACGTGCAAGATGCTTCCAGACAGTACTCTTTTTTCCACCACTGAATTGAAGGATCTTTTCGTATACCTGGCCAAACCTGGAACCGGAGGGTCCGAACCATCATCGTTTTTCCATTATTTGTTTACTCAAATATTAATTTTAACGATCAATTTATGAGTAGAAAAAATAAGAGAGCTATGTTGTATTTTATATCTCTCGGCTCGAAAGCTATGAGAATACAGAGATAAATTTAATGTTCATGGTAATATTAGATCAAATATTAATATCATTTTGAGTATTAAGACCAACTAATTTTTCTTTATTACTCCTTATTTATCAATTGAAATACACAATTTCATATTTAATTTGTTTGGCATGCATAAAGAAATTAAGAATTGTTTTTTAGTTATAAAAAAATATTGGTTCCGGCAAGAACCGCAACCAGAACCATATTACCATTTCAAAACAATGGAAAATTGGGTCAATTTATATTACCTCCATTTTCTTGAGAACATCCTCCAGACTTCCGACCTGTGAAAATGCAAACAAGAAATAGTGAAAAGGAGACGTGAAACATTTGTTGCCGTATGCAAATGACAAATGTGGAGCAACCGAGTAATTTACAAAATGCAGTAATTAGAAAAAGTAATAAAACGGACCAAGGTTCTAACACTGGTTTATAATTTATTTATGTTTTTGGTAAGCCAGTTATATAACCTCACGTTGAGAGTGCACTACCACCCAATGGACTTTATATTTTCCCAAAGAGAAAATAAGAAAACAAATGACCCAAACTAATACCGCCTAAACTATTCAATATTCGGTTCGGTCACTGTAAGTTAATTAAAGTGAGACACCAAAATCACAATCCCCTGAATCCCATGTGGTTAGAAAAAATATTAGCCCTTTTAGCAGTCATTCTCCACTTTCATCCACCGAAAGAACAGTATCATAGGCAGCAGCTAGCAAGTTAAAGCGAGACGGATCGTGAACGAGAAACTGTAATACCATAATGTGTTGAGAAACATCAGGTCCCCTTGAAACCCTTGACACAGCTGCAAGTGCTTTCTCTATATCTTCCTGTATGAAAAATAAAAAAATAAAGTTAATTTATTCACATTCACAAAGGAGATAAATTATTATATAGCATCTGATACAAGAAAGAGTACCTTCTGAAAATATATGGGGCAATACCGCTTGTTTTTCTTCTTTACAACCAATAGGTCCGACTTGAAAAAGAAAACTCCACGTGAGTTTGGAACAGTAGAAAGCAATAAATTAAAGCATCATGCATATAAACAAACAAGGAGTCCTACTCGGTATCAAGTACCCGACGAAACTTGAAAATTTAACAGGTCAACAAATAACTATTTGTGCGCTGTAATCTCTGTGTGTGTGTGTGTGTGTGTGTTTGTGTGTGCGCGCACCTACGAGTGTGATATATCATGTCTTCTTGGTGCAGTAACAAGTGCCCGAGCAATCAAGGAATGTCAAAGTATTTGGTCAATCTTTTGTTGTGATTGTTTATAAACATGCATGAACCACACATCCAGCATAGGACAATTAGACAATAAAAAAAAAATTCGCAAAAGCATGCATGAGTAAGTCAGTTCCCACTTAAGATGCTTTGCCAGTCCCCTTTCCTTTCACCACTTCTCCATTACGATATGAAAGACCAACTAATAGATTTTTTTTTAAAAAAAAAATGGAACAGAAAGAGAATTTTCCCACAAAAAATAATAATAAAAATCAAATGAATTCTAAAAAAGAATGAGTCTTTGATAGTATTTAGAGCACCAGTCATCTTTTAAATATTTAACCAACAAACTGATAACCTGATAATATTTACCAAATCAGGCATACTTCAATTCATTTATCTATCAAACTAATGGACTTAAAACAGGTATTAGCATAACTGTCAGTTACCTATTTCTCTCCAATGCAAATGATTACTTTTGGGACCACTAAAGTAATATGCAGTAGATAAATCGTTTATTTTTATTTACATGTAGGTTTCATCGAAGCAGAAGTAATGAGAGCGTACACCAGTAATAAAATATGTGAAAATAAGAAAGATAAAATGAGATGTACAAGCAAATGCCTATTGCCATATACCTGAAAAATAGGAACTCCATCAAATCCATTCATAGTATCTGATGCTCGTATCTAACAAGGAAAAAACATGAAACATGTCAAACTTTCTACAAATCTGATCAAAGAGAAGTTGCAACCACCAGCAGATAATAAAAATAAACTATTGAGAAACAGGAAAATCATATATTTTTTCTAAGTGGGGAACAAAAAGTTGTAATGATATGTGGAATCAGATTAATTCCAACTAAGTTATCTTGCAGGACCAAAAATTTAATCGTATAGTATAGATTTAAGTTTGCAAGTTCACTATATAAATTTGTCCACTTAAATGAAAAGGAAACAGTTTCTCATAATTTATGAAACCGTAAATCAACTTTCATTACTGCACACGAAATGTTTACACATCCACTAAAATTGCATTCAAACACATGATACGTAATGTAAGAAATTAGTATTTGTATGACTCCCCAAACCCTCTACAACCTTGCCCATGCATTAAATCTGACACATATTATTCCTATCTGGCTATTTCATTTTCTTTCTGTTATTTTTTGTGTTACTTATCTTCATTAATCTCTTCTAAACTTTCTTTTTTCAACACTTCTCATCTTTCTTGTTTTTAAGAATAGTTATGAACTCTTCCTTATCATTGGTCACTGACCTATCTTACTCATTCTTGCAATTGCCAGTAGAACTTGTCACTTATAGATATTTATAAATTGTTCCCCCACAATACTAAATCAATTGATCTAATTCTGAAAAAAATAATTTACGAAAAAGAAAAAAGGATAGGGAATATAAGGGCCAGATACTCCAATTCACATGTGGATTACTCTCAAACACATGGCAGCATCTAAGAATATCTAGAAGAGCAAATTGTGAAACACTCCAAAACAGAAACTCATGTCATGAGTTCAGCGCCCAAATATGCTGTCTTGTTTTTAAGCAATGGGCCTGTGTTAATAAAAATTATCAGAGCAATTCATTTTCAATATTTTCACCGACTAACAAGACCTCTAACCAGACTAATAGGCTTTGATTATCTTTGAAATGTCATCACAACTGTGTCCAGAAAATCAGGTTGGATCTATAAGCGCAACCAAACAATTTTTTTTTAAAGTGATACCAACCTCCAATGCATTCTTTATTTGAACTGGATCAGGTAAAAAGCGAAATGCTATGCCTTCAACTTTCAACATGTAAACCTGTCAATTTAGGGAGTGAAAATCAATTCCAAGATTGTTATGGTTGAGAGACAAGGCAAATCCTTCTTATAATGTAAATTGCATATAGCATGCAAGACACAACAAACAGAAATAATATGGTTAATTTTTTGAGAATGATGTAAGAAACCATTTTTTACGTAGAGAGATTTTGGCCAGACTGACCAATAAAGCTTAACAAGGGAAAGATAAAGAAGAACAGCAATTAGGTTGCGCAACAAAAGTTTTATGGACCCACATAACCAACCATATTATCTATAGTTACCCTGACAATGGATATCATCCTGATAAAGCTTACTCAAACGTATTTTACTGAAAATACATTATATAGTGCTTTGACAATCTTTTGTCAGGTAAAGTGATTAGTATAACCCCAACATAATTTCACACTATGCTTGTATATCTTTCTCAAGAAATTTCTGAATGCAAGATGGTCCTTGGAATTGAGTTTTAAGTCGACCTTATCAAACACAAAAATTTGAAACTCTTTCTGAGTTCAATTTTATACCATGGAGCATTAGAACTTAAGTAACAACCCATGTTACCATCCACAAACTCTCTGGTCTACAAGATATACCAACCTGGTCAAGAGTTATTGGCACCACTTTGGCACCACCTCTAAGCTCTCCTTTTCTTAACCTCACCTAGATCAACATAAGCAATGGTATAGAACATTATAATAGTTCAGCAAATCATATTCGACTCAAGCAGCCAGAATCACATCGCTTGCAAGTCATTGTACAGAAATGAATGGTGCACAGGCAGCACAGCATAACTACAAAAGGAAATACAAAAGCCTGCACAGATGAAAATCACTCCCTATATATTTTTGTACTTTGAATAGTTCATAAAAATTTGAACTTCTATTCATTCCTATAAGGACTTTTACATTAATATAATATAGTATATGAAAACGTTATGTGTCATTACAAAATAAATATGCAATTTTTAAAAATATAGAAATTGTTAATTAAAAGAATCATTCTTAAAAAAAAATTACTCATTAATTATGGTGTTGTAATTCTACAATATCAATTAAGGATGGTGAAAACAAACAGAGTGGCTTCCTATCTGATTACAACTTGTACCAAAAAAAAAGGATGGTGAAAACAAAATTGCGTGATTATGTTACCTGAGCAAGAAAATTTTCGGCATCTTCTTTGCGGAAACAAAGCAGACCAATAGACTTAACCCCATCGGGATCAGATACCAGCACGAACTCATTATTAGTGTTGCTCACGGTGTACACTGAAGTTCCGATGAGCCTCCTCGCGACATGTTCCATGCTAAGGGAAGCTTCAGACGCGGTGGCAGTCGGCTTGCCCTGGCGCTGCGATACGGAGGCAAAAGGCAACAATATCGGCGGCGTCGGTTGCAGAAAGGCGGGGAAAGTAGCGGCGGCGAGCCGCCTGGTGTCGTCGAGTCGATTGGTGAGTTGAGTGCCAAGACCGCGGATGAAACTGGAAAGGGAAAGGAGCGGGTTGGGGAGTGGGCCCACCGAGGGTTTTACGGAAGATTCCATTGTTGTTAGCTTAGAAATTAGAATAGAGGAAGTGACGATAACTCGAGGAACTCATCTCTTTAAAAAAATAAATAAATAAAAAATAAAAAAAAAAATCTTGAAGCATGTTAATTATTCCAACTCCGCCTATGTTGTATCAACATAGCAGGTCCCAAGCCCTGGTAAAGGAGGAGGGTTGTGATAGGCTTAGCGAGCCAACGCAAAACCTAGCCGTTCTATGGAGATGAAACACATGATAAATTCGTTGGGGGATAACCCTCTTAGCGACGCGCCATATCGAAACCCGAGTATGGTGTCAAATGGGCAAGGGCCGGGTCGTCTCCCCCTTGGGGACGCGCCATGTTGTGGTTTGGACATGGTGTTAAGTGAGCAAGGATCGGGTCGTCATTTCCTTAGTGGCGCGCTACATCGGCGCCTGGGTGTAGTGGAAAATGAGCAAGGGTCTTCGCATCTCTCTCGACGGGTGCGAAGGGCAAGGAAGATAGTCGAACCAACTAGGGTCCGTATAGGTAGCTAGAACGTAGGGTCCCTAACGGGTAAACTACGTGAGCTAGTCGATGCAGCTACTAGGAGGCGTGTAAATATCCTATGCATCCAGGAGACAAAATGGAAGGGACAGAAGGCGAAGGAGGTGGAGGATACTGGCTTCAAGCTTTGGTTCACTGGGTCTTCATCGAGTAGGAATGGTGTAGGCATCTTGATCTATAGGAGCCTTAAGGATGGAGTAGTCGATGTTAGAAGGCAAGGCGACCGGATTATCCTAGTCCGATTGGTAGTTGGAGATTTGACCTTGAATGTGATCAGTGCCTATGCCCCTCAGGTAGGTCTTAGTGAGAGCGCAAAGAGGCAATTCTGGGAGGACCTATGTAACACCCCGCTTATCAAAGTAAATTTTTCGCAACTTTTACTTCGAAATTACTTAACTCTTTCGAAATCTTTTGCGACTAACTCGGGATGCTACTCAAACTCATCATCTTGAAAATTCGTTTATCTTTAAACTTTTGTCTAATACTTCTTTAGACATAAATAAAACAGATTTCCTTTAAACTTGCATTTAAAATACCATAATCATATTTCTCATAATGGTAAAAACTTGAAATCTGAAATTCATTAAAATGCAAGTTCAATACTTATGTGCATAGCGGAAATACTTGAAAACGTGGTTAATTATACAGACTGTTATAAATGTCCGTATCAAAGCTTGTTTTCATCTGTGTCCACGATCCACACCAACACTGCTCCACTCACACCTCCTCTTCGACCTGTTACCTGAAACTAAAACTCATGGGGGTGAGTAACGAATATGGATAATCATAAACCTGATATCTGATCGATAACCAGAAATCTGTTCTGGTACTGAAACTTAAACTGGCCGATCTGATCGAATACGTGTGCACACTCTTATGGATATTTTTAAGTAACCTAATGGCCTCCATCAGAACTCAGGATGTACTGATAAGGCAACTGGAAGCCTTCATCCCAAGCGTAAAACTTAAACATTAGGATACACTGAGAAAACTGATGGTCTTCTCATCCCATATGACATCAATATCGTACTCAATGTGATACCCATTCAGGGTCCCCATCTTTTTGTCTTTGAAATCATTTGAAAAACGATAAGTGTTGTACTGGTACTGTATCTGCAAGTTACATCAAATATATACAAATATCCTAAGTACTATGCTCGTATACTCAATAAGAATTTTAGGATTATTAACTTATCCAAATCTTATAGAAACTCATTAAACTTGCTTTTTCTCAAGTTTATACTTAACTTCTTTTTTTTTACTTTTACTTAAGGTCAATTACTTAACCTTATATAAATCATGTCTTCATAAACATCAATATGGTATTATACTTAGCATGTTATAACTCAAATGTGAAAATAACTATATTTCACATTATACTTGATTTAGTATTTAAACTTAAAACATGCTTTCTTTTACCAACATCATCGACATGATTTATAACTTATCTTAATTTAACTTGATCCAAAACTTAATTCATCATACATCATATCTCCCAATTTTTATATATTGGCTTGTACTAAATTTTCACTTAATTAAATTGAAAGTGAAAATAATCTCAAGCCATAATCATCTTTTACTCATAATATTTAATCATGATGTTAATATGTCATACTTAATACAATTTTTATAAAATTGTATACTCAACATATTATACCAAAACATCATCAAATTACTCATCACTTATATGAGAATTTTTCATGATCATCTCATTTTAACAACTTAAACATTTCATGAATATTCTTGCATATATATACTTATCTTTACATATATGTTTTCTTATATTCATAACTTATTCATTTCTCATCTTTAAATTATGAAACTTAGCAGTCATATTATTAACTCATATTTAGACATGTCATAAAAATTTCATAATTTTATCATGCATATATCTCGACTTATTCAAGTTTAAAGTTGTTGCTGGAAACAAGTACATAAAATTCAGCTTGCATGATAAACTTTAAAAATTCATATCTTGAGTTATACTAAACTAAATGACTTGATTCTTGATCCTATGTACTCCTCTTTTACACAAGAAATAACCATAGGAAGCATAGATTTCCAGATTTTTCATAGCTATGTAAAAATCTCATCATAACTGAACACATATAACATATATATGAGCTGGAAATAACTTATTTTCTAGCATGCTTATATTCATATAAACTTTAATATCTAAGTAATATAAAAACATTATTAAACACATAATATCATCTACTAAACATGTAAACTCATTATCAAAACATGAACTTAAGCATGTAACTTTAAGATAAGTAAATTACCTCCTTCTTGCTAGAATCGTAACTTAATTCTTCACTTCTAAATTCTTCACTTCTCCAAAGTTTCTACTACTCATTCTCTCTTACACTCTTATATAACTTTTGGTACTTAACTTTGGTGTGAGAACTCTGATTTTTAGGCCTCTATTTATAGGCACAAATTGGCAAAACATCATAATGGAGTGAAGAAATGAACAAAATAAACAATTTAAACTTATAAACTTAATTAATCATAAACTATTTTATGATTAACTTGTATTCTTATCCAAACATAATTAATCATAAAAAATGGCCTTTAGTTATAGCCATGAGTGAGCTTTTTGGTAGATAAAACTTATTCCACCAAGTTTAATAAAATTCTCATCAATTGTTGAAAAAAAATGCTAACTTAAAGACTTAGCAAAACTTTGTTGTGATTTTCTCATCTCATTCTCACCAATTGATGACCAAAATTTCGTGCTTAATGTGATGTAATTGATTCCATATATTATTGAAAAAATGTCACCATTCATCATATAAAAATCTTTGGAACAAAATAATAAAAATAATAAAAATCATTTTTTTTTTTTACTTATGCATTTTCTTTCAAAATGGCTGATTTTTAAAACTCTTTTACTGAAAAGTAATGCTCATATATGGTCTTGGATCATGCTAATAAACCGAGAATAATACAATTTACGGAACTCAATTCGGACTTAAAACGAACGTTTACCGTAAAACTGAAAATTCTAAAATTTAAATTCTTTACTCACAGTTTTTCTTCAATTTAATGAACATATTGCTTCTTAGGATCTAATATAATTATCTTGAAATATTCTACATTTACGGAACCACATTCGGACTTAAACCGAACGATTACCGTAAAACCGAAAATTCTAAAAATTTCGGTTTCTCTTAAAATAATTTAAATAGACTATAATGTCTAAATAAATTTTCTCACTTCTTTGAACATTTATCACTTAAATGTTCATGGATACTTAACCGCACTTCGAGACTTAACTTGTATCAACTTATGCTAAGGCTCAATATTATGATCTTATCTTGATGACTTAAACACTTAGAAAAATTCTAAGTATTTAGTACTAAGGCTCGGCTATTTCTTAATTAAGTTCAACTCATGACCGAACATACTTGGGTTCAGTTCACTACTTATCTTAAACGATTAATCAAAATATACTCAATTTCGATTATTCGTCATCTTATATTAATTAATCCCGTCTTATAAATCCATTTATAAAAATAAACAGACCGGAATTAATTAATTACTGAACTGGCTCGATTACTGAATAATATTGAACCGAGAATACTTTCGACTTAAAGTCGAATTTTTAACTGAATAACTTAATAACTGGCTCAAAACTAGGAACGAGCATTAATAAAAGTAATTAGTTCATACTTAGAATAATTACTTTTATTAATTACTGAATGAGATATTACAATCTACCCCCCTTAAAACTATTTCCGCCCTCGGAAATACAAAAACTGAGATATATACCAACTATGTATATATATCATAACTCGAAATCTGGAAAAACGAGTGCTAATATCAACTTCTCACTCCCCAGTGACATCCAACTCTATATGTGGCGATTCCATTTTATACTAACGAGGGAATATCTCAATTCCTCAACCAATGAACCTTCTGGTCCAAAACTTCTATCGGCTGGTCCTCGTAGGTTAAATCTTACTGAAACTCATTGTGCAAAAGCACATACTCTGGGTCGCACACATACTCACGTAACATTGTTACGTAAAACTTTATGCACACTGGACAACTTTAGAGAAGAATTGATATTAAATACTTGTCTGACTAACTATGCGATACATTGCATACGATTTACCCACTACCCGGGCCCTTCGGGTGCGGAACATTTATATGCATTGTACCTTAATGTCAATGTCACTTGTAATCATTAACAAGTCACATCTCCATTCTATACTAACATCTTACTATACTAAACTTGCTTCTCTTTCGAGAAACCTTTTTACTCAATATTACTATTGATATTTACTTCAACTTCTCCGACTTAACTATAGTCAAGAATTTCGTTGAAATTTCTGTACTGATATGGAATAACTTGACCATTCTGTGGTCATACCATAATTCCAATAATTAAGGTAAACTTTATTTACCTTTAATAATTCAACTGCCATAATAATGTTGCAACATCTCACTTATTGCCGACATCTCACATCTGATTTTGATTGCATTAAATGCATACTGCTGTGCATCTTCTGACATTCGGTATAATTTAATCATACCTAATAACTTATCTC